ATCCATCCACCCATCCATCCACACATTCATCCATCACCCACTCATCCATCCACCCATCCATCCATCCACATATTCATCCATCCACATTCATCCATCCACCCATCCATCCATCCACACATTTATCCATTCACATTCATCCATCCACCCATCCATCCATTCACACACCCATCCATCCACCCACTCATCCATCCACCCACTCATCCATCCACCCATCCATCCATCCATCCACATTCATCCATCCATATTCATCCATCCATATTCATCCATCCATCCACACACCCATCCATCCACCCACTCATCCATCCACCCATCCATCCATCCATCCACATTATCCATCCATATTCATCCATCCACCCATCCATCCATCCACACACCTGTCCATCCACCCACTCATCCATTCATCCACCCACCCATCCATCCATCCATCCACATTCATCCATTCACCCATCCATCCATCCATCCACACACCCATCCGTCCACCCACTCATCCATCCATCCATACATCCACACATTCATCCATCTACATTCATCCATCCACCCATCCATCCATCCATCCATCCATCTACACATTCATCCGTCCACACATTCCATCATCCACAGACATCCACGCATTCATTCATGCTATCCCCATCCTGTCACTATAATTCACCTTTTTTCCGTGTAAATGTATGTCCTCCCATTCACCATCTGTCTACTCACTCTCCTCTCTCCATTGCTTCATTTTGACAAGGCACAAGATGGAGCTCCTGTGTGCCAGCCCTGCACAAAGGATTTGGGTCACGAGGGCACAGGACACATTCCTGTTCTTAGGGAAGAGAGGTAGACACCACAGTGGTCCAGCGAAATGGCCTTTGCTCTGAAAAGGCTCCAGGGCAATGTAACACATCTGTCAGCCTAGACTGAGGGTCCAAGAATAGCTGGGATGGTCAAAGGACTTCTACAGCTGAGACTAAAGTAATCGCTGGGGACCAGAGAGAAAGTTCAATGGGATGAGATTTGAGAGCATCTCTGTTTTGTCTTGAGCCACATCCAGCTGTACTCGGGGCCTATTCCTGACTCCGCGTTCCAGGATCACCTGTGGTAGTGCTCAGGGACTATATGCAGTGCTAGCTATTAAACTGAGGACAGCTCTACATCAAATATTTTATCAGCTCCACTATCTCTCCTGGCCCTGAAGACATGCTTTCTCATGTAAGAATAACCACCAGGAGTGACTTGAGAGCAAAGGCCAGACTGTTTTGCCAACAACGTCACAGAAGAGTTTCCTCTTTTCTCTGAGCATTTTCTTTGTTACAGAAACAATGCAACCTTTCTGTAAATTTCAAAGAGAGAGAGGAAGGGCTGGAGAAACCAGACCAGTGGTTAAGGTGCTTGATTGCAATGCAAGCAATGGGTGTTCAATCTCCAGCACTACATATGGCTCCCTGAACATAGCCAGGAGTCACTCCTGAGCCCAGAGCCAGGAATAGCCCCTGAGTGATGCAGGTGTGGCCCTATCCATCCCCTCCCCCCAACACACACACACACACACACACACACACACACACACAATAGTGAAAAATCAGTGAGTTAATATAGCCCATAATCCAACCCTACAGATACTCTGGTACACATTCCGGGGCTGCTGGCATTGTGCCCCTTTGCAAATATTCTCTCCCTTTCTCTTGATCTTTGGTGGCATCATTGAGAGCCAAAAGATTTGTTTTTATTTTGATGAAGTTTAGTCTATCTAGTTTATCACTTTGGTCACTTGCTAAGTAAACTTAGTCAGTGAGAGAAAAACAACTAACTGTGTGGTGATGGATGTTAACAGATGGTGTTGATCACAGAGCCACATGCACAACTACTGACTCATGATGTGGTGTTTGAATAAAGACCCCTGAAACTGATGGTCTTTATCATTTACACAACTATCAACTACACACCCTTTTATATAAAAAGGAAAATAAAAAAGAAAAGAGAGAGGAAGGAAAGAAGGAAGGAAGGAAGGAATAAACGAATGAATGAACGAAGCAAACGACAACTTCTAGTCTAAGTTGGATTTGTGGGGTCAGGATGAAAAGTTTTCAGCAGGCCACATTTTCTAGAAGATTCTCTTTCTAACCTAACCGCCCAAACCATGAATATCTGCATGGCCTAAAGAAATTGCCTCACTCTCAGGCACACCTTGGCACTTCATAGGCTTTTTCCTAAGTGCAGGAATTGTTGTCTTTGGTCGTTGCAGGAAATGACAAAACATTCCTGGTGAGAGGCTGAGAGTATCCAAGTGTCCATATCCGACTCAGAGATGGAAACGAAAAGTTCACTGTCTGTTCTCTGGGGCTCCTGGCTCACCCCCGAACATCTCCGACCTTCTGTGATTGGCTCTCCTCGAGGGGAAACAGAAGAATCACAACATCCATTTTCCAGACTGGCTCCCTTGGGTGATGCTGGGAACAGGGGGACATGGAAACGCCATGGCTCCACCCCCTACCTATTGGCTCCTCCCCCAACCTGTTGGCCCCTCCCCCTACCTATTGGCCCCTACCTAGTGGCTCCTCCCCCGACCTGTTGCCTCAGTCTTCTAAGGCGTTCCCTCTCTCTGGTTTATTTCATCCAGGGCTCAGGACTCATTCCAGATCCTGGTGTTTCTTTACGAAGACCGTTTCCAACTGTTTGCTTTCCCACCTCAGTTGCTAGTTAGCAGCGTCTCCCATAGTAGCTGGCCTTTGTGCTCTGGTCAATGGACCAGAAGGAAAGGCTAGAGGCAGGGCTGGATCACCCAGGATTCCACATGCGTAACTACTTCAGAAGCCCACTGGCGGCGGCTGGGCATGAGGACAATCACTTGGCTGTCCTGGGGGGTTCAGGGTGGGGAGGGCTCACAACAGCTGTGGGGCAGAACGTGCACTCAGATATCCAAATCACGCTCAGGGCTCCTCACAAGAAAACGTCCTTCCTCACTCAAAGCCCGCTCCGGACACTGCAGCCCACTCCAGACACTGCATGCTAAGACTTGCTAAGAAACTGTCTTCCTAGATGATTTCAGGAAAGAAGCTCTTTTACCCCAGGGTGCCTTCCAGCTTGGAGACCTCCAGGAGCCTCAGAGAACAGAGAACTGGTCTCCCCATCCCACCTCATCTCACATCCCACTTGTCTTAAGTAGGATCAGGAGTTTCTGGGTTCTCACTGATCTGCAGACCAAGTCACACTGAATGCTGCTTCTGAGTAGAGTGTTCCGTTCCTGAAAAGTGGGTTCCTCCAGTTCTGAGCAGCCTTTGTTAACCTGTAAATTCCCTAAAGGGGTGGAGTTATCAGGAATAGCAGGCAGGGGTCCTCTTCTGAAGGTGAGACGAGTCAGCAGGTAGCAAGCTTGCCCTGAGCTGGGGGAGAGAATTGACCCTTATGGCCCCTCTAACCCACAATAGCTAGAGAATCTAGATGCTTCCAGCTGGGTCACAGCCCTTGATCATTCCCACGCTCCGACGGACAGAACTTGTCCCTCTATGCCTTAGAGTCGCACTCACTCTCTGGAGAAGTGCAAATTTCAGTCCACAGCGGGAGGCTGCAAACCACGCGGGCTGGGCTGCAAGGGGGAGGAGGAGGGGTGGGGCTGGCAGGGAGTGGGGGTGGGCGGGTATTCTGACCTCAGAGTTCGACTCCGGATTGGAGCCTGGGCATTTGCTTCTCTATGGAATTCCCAGCGTTTCTGATTCTACTGGCCCACCCCCACCCCACACTTCACCCCACTTGAAAGAACCACAGAAAGTCGGGCGGTGGCCTAGCACGCTGGTCTCCCTGGGCCTGATCCCAGCATCCCATATAACGCCCACTCCACCCCCCACCTCGTCTCCGCCAGCCCCAGAGAACAGGGGAAGAGTAATTCCTGAGTGCAGAGCGGGGAGTAACCCTTGAGCACCGCCGTGTGTAACCCTTCCCTAAAATAAAAAGAAATTAAATGACTTAAAAACCACCCAGAGAGGGGGGTGGGTCACTCCATGGAAAAGAGGCGGCCGTTTGGGGGCCCATCCCGAGTAGTCCTCTCCCGCTGCAGTGCCGGGCACTCCCCGGGAACAAAGCAGTGAAGAAGCGCGAAGGCCGGGCCCAGGACTTGGGAGAATGAATGAGGGAGCGAGCATTCGGGGGACGCAGCAAGCCCCCGCCCCGGCGGCCGGGCCTTTGTGACGTCAGAGGGCGGGATAATGGTTGCCTTGGCGACGGGGCCGCGGGGGAGCCGGGAGCAGCGGCGCGGAGGCTTCGGAGCGAGCCGGGGCGCGCGCAGCTCGGTGGGTGCGCACGGGGCGGGCGGCGGGAGCGCGCGGGGCCGTGGGGGCGGGGGCGGGGGGCGGGCGCCGGGGGCCGAGTCCTCGGGCGCCCCTCGCAAGAGCCCCCCCCTGCAAGACTCCCCGCTCGTCGCCCCCCCGCTGCCCCCCACCCCCCGGCTCTGACACTTTGCTTTCTCCACTCCCGGGTACCCCGCGATCGCTCCACGCCTGACTCCCGGGCGCGGGCGCGGGTGCAGGGTCTGCGCCGGGAAGCCTGGAAGGACACGAGTGTTAGCGGCGAGGAATCTTGGGGCTGGAATTCCAGCCACCAGGGCCCCTCCTGGCTGTGTGGCCTTGCACGGCTCGCGGAATCTCCACTGCGCCCTCCTCTGAAAAAAAAAAAAAGAAAGAAAGAAAGAAAAAGAAAGAAAGAAAGAAAGAAAGAAAGAAAGAAAGAAAGAAAGAAAGAAAGAAAGAAAGAGAAAAAGCATTCAGCATGCAAAACTGCAAAGCGCCGCAATTTGCGTATTGCGCGGCTGCTAAAATCAGAAAAGGACCTCGTAGTGCTTCCATTTCAGGGGGAAAGGCTTTGCACGCGATAAAATCACCAAAGAGGGTCAATGCAGAGAAAGAAAGTCAAATCCTCAGGGCGAGGAAGGAAGGCTTCTCCCGAGCCTCCTCCGATCTGAAACGCAGGTGACTCCCCACCTCCAGCTGAATATGGAGCAAGGCCTGACACATGCAAAGATCCTGGGGCCCACCCGGGTGCTTGTGTTCTTGGGACTGGAAGAAAAGTTGCTGGACTGGAGGAGGGGACAATGTTGCAAGGAGACCTCCGGCCAGCAGGTGTTGCCAGGGGCACTGTCCCCTTGGTAAATGCCAGCTACTCTCAGACACTCAGGCCAGAGCTCCCTGGGTCCCTGGGCACCCTGGACTCAAGCACCGTGTCCTTCTGCAGGTTGGACTCTCCCAGAGCAAGTGTCAGGTGCTCCAGCCAACCTTTGTTCTGCCCAGACGTTCAGGATGCTGTCTCCGGCCTTGGTGCTCAAGGAGAAGCCCTCCGATGGTATGTGGGTGGGGGGCAGGCAGGTGGCCACCTGGGGGCGGTGCTGAGCGGGTTATGAAGGCCCCCCCCCCCCCCCCCCAGGAGAGAATCATGGGCCCTAGGAGCTCCACCGTGTTCAGGGCAGCTGGAACAAAGGCCCCTCAAAGGGAGATGTAACCACATAGACTTGGTGCCTCAGGGTTCAGGGGGCTGGAAGCCGAGACCCAGCGGTGGGCAGGAAGGTGGCATTTGTTCCAGGCCTGCTGGAGCTCCTGCTAGGTTGCTGGCATTCTCTGACATCTAGAAGTAACTGCCTCCAACACCCTCCCTCTGTCCCCACCTTCCTGCCCCCCCCCTCCCCCCGGGTGCTTGCCTGAAGTAGGGCCAAGCTTCTGGTGAACACTGTGAATACCCCTGAAGTGCTGGATAGTTAAAATTGTTTGAACGGGGGCCAGGGTGGTAGCATAGTGGGGAAGGTGTTTGCTTTGCATGCGCCCATCTGGATTTGATTCACGACATCCTATATGGTCCCCCGAGCTCGCCAGGAGTAAACCCTGAGCACTGCCGGGTGTGGTCCCCAAACCAAACAACAACAACAACAAGTAATAGTTAATATGAGCTGGTGAGTTGGCTTGAGAGGTCGCAACTCACACTTTGCTTGCAGAGAACCCAGGTCTGATCCTTGGTGGCCTGTAGTCCCCCAATAAACATTGTTTTAGGTTAAAGTGGCAACTTTATGTTAGGAAATGATACCCCAGTGAAAAGATACAGTGTAACAATGCATAGACTAAGTGGAGGAACAAACCAAATTGTTGCTTTTTGCAAGAGTGCTAAGGACTCTAGCAAAGGAAAGTGATTCTAAAATGACTTTGGGGGGGAGGGGCACATTTAGAGAGGCTAGCTTTGCCTGGAATGCTTCCTGGAGGAGAGGGCCTTTGAGCAGAACTGAGGGAATGGGGTCTAATACTGCCTTATGCATACACCAGGGGAGGGAGCTTCGGAGAGCTGGCGGGGGGGGGGGGGGGGGGGGCGGTGGAGAGGGGTTCAGGGGAAGAAAGGGAGGTAGTACAGTGGACATGTTAGTGGGGATATGACAGTCCTAGCTGGAATGTTCTGGGTGCTGCGTGGAGAGACAGGACAACCTGGATGTTTGGGAGGGGGTCAGAGATTGGGGTCCTCAGCAGACCCCTGTCACCATCCAAGCTCCCAGAGGGGTCCAGGAGAGGACTGAAGGCAGAGGGTACAGACAGGCAGTGTACTGCCTCGACCAGGCAGTGGGACCCCAGGACCCACAGGGGTGGCCCTGTGAAGTCCCTACCAGGTCACTGCGAAATGGTTGGGCCCAGCTTTACTACTGAGCTACTTGGGGCTTCCACCCTTGAGCCCTGCGTCCCTCCATGCCCAATCATGACATTGGCACAAGTCTGTGCAGAGGCAGCAGCCAGGGTGCAAGTCGGCTCAGCCCACCTCTCAGGCAGCACCGGCCCCACCACAGCTCCTACCGGATGTCTGGATGCGAGGAGGGACCCCGGATCTCCTTCCCCAAACCTCCCCCAGGAGCGAGCCCTACGCACTTTTGAGGGTCTGAGGGCAGCATAAAGGGGGGCTCCCAATGGGGCAGGGGCTGGCCCTGGTGGCCAAGGGGATGAGGAGGGAGAGATGAACAGTCAGACCTGCAACATACACCTGCACACCTTCTCCATCCTGCAGTGTGGAAACCTTCCCAGCAAACACACATGAACACATGGACACACACATACATGTATATGCACACACATGTTCACAGGCACACACACATGCACGCACACACGTATACAAGTGCATATACACATGTATATGTGCAAACTCAATATATGCATATATACGTGCAGCACACATGTGTGCACATGGTACATGTACACATGTGCACACACACATGCATACACACATTCATGATCATGCACATACATGTACCTTGCGCTCCCTCTGGAGTGTGAAGCCATTGGTGACCCTGCGGCTCCTCAAGGCTCGCCGTGTGGAAGCCCCCCAACGTGGATGTGTGTGGGGTGAAAGGCCGTGAGGCCCGGAGGTCCTCCCCACAGCCCACCTCCGTCAGTGCACTGCCTGCCTTTTTTTTGCTACTGGTGCTCTGCTTCTTCCACAAAGAAAAGTGTGATAAGGATTTGCTCTGATGTGTGTGTGGGGGGGGGGGGGGTTCTAGTCACGTAACAGTGGTCCCCTCTGATCTCTGGGCTCCATTCTCCTGGAAACATCCCCTGAGGGAGCATTCGTCATAAAGACGTGGCAGCCCCTGAGACTTCCGGCCTCACTCTATATTTATTTATTTATTTATTTTTTGCTTTTTGGGTCACACCTGACGATGCACAGGAGTTACTCCTGGCTCTGCTCTCAGCAATTACTCCTGGCGGTGCTCAGGGGACCATATGGGATACTGGGAATCGAACCCAGGTTGACCGAGTGCAAGGCAAATGCCCTACCCACGATGCTATCGCTACAACCCCCTCGGCCTCCCTCTTGCCACCCTCAGAGCTGCTGCTTCCCGGAAGGCCCGAGTGCCCACCACAGTCCCGCCCTGCCCTCCTCACCTGATTCTCCCCTCGAACCGCTCTCCCCAGCTCCACCACCCATGTGGCCTCAGGATCATGTCCACATGCAACCGGCCCCCCTCATGTTCCCACCCCCTCCCCAGCCCTGCAGGCTCTGGGGCAGCTTCCGGCCCTCCTGTGGGCAACTGGCAGCCTTTCTGGGCACAACAGGAAGTGGACCCCAGAGTTTTCTACTCAAGCTCTGAAGGAAGCTTCCAGGGACAGGGGCCCCGGGCACAGGCCCTGTGAAGCAACTCTGCCTCTGAAGGAGCAGAGCGAAGGCAGAGAAAGAAGAGGCCACGTGACTATTTTCTTTTACAATTGCCCATTCCCTCCCCTACCCCCCTCCACCGTCAGTGTGACCCCCTTCGATGTCAAGTTTCCATCTCCTAAAAGCCACAGGTCAAAGCCAGAGCGTGTCTGTCCCTCCCCAGCCTCACACTGCCTTCGCCTACCAGACCTGAGAGCCATTCACTGCAACCCTCACTTTTGCGTCCCCACAGAGAACATCCCGGAATCTTTAGACAGTTTTTCAGCCTCGGAAGAGAAGAAAGAGACAAATGTGGGAAAAAGGAAAGGTAACTATCACACGTCAGGAGCTGACGTCCACGTTGATGGGAATGGTGTCCTGAGGGAGTTCCAGAGGGAGGGGTGTGTGTGTGTGTATGTGTGTATGTGTGTGTGTGTGTGCATGTGGGGAAGGAGGGTGTGCGTGCATGTGTATGGTCCTAGTCTCCAGTGTGAAGGATGAAGGAAACGCTCTGATTCCTTTAGGAACTGGGTTACTGAGACCTGACCCCACAGGATTGTAATCCAAGTTGGATTTACTTTTCTCTTGATAATGGGATCTCTTGGAGGCAGCACAGGACTTCATGAGCCGTCACACACAGCAGCTAGACAAAATGATTTGGGTCACAAGGCCCCAAGTCTTTTTGCTCAATGGTCTTTCGTGGTAGGGCTTTCAACAAGGTTGTCATATGGGCACAAAATGGCTGTTGTAGTTCCAGCCATTGCATCTGATTCCAGATAAGAGAAAGGAGCTCGGGGAAGGGCAGAACTGTCCCCCTGTCAACTCAGTTCTCCCTGAGAATAAATATACCCATCCCAGAAGCCCCATCCAGCAAGGTCTGCTTACACTCTGTTGGTCATGACATGTGTCCTGTCCAGGTTTAGAACAGAGTGTGAATGAAGCCTTGGAGAGCCCGGGAACCATGCCAGCATCAGGGCAGGGCAACATGCAACTCCTCTCCCACCACCCTCAGTGGATGGTTTCAAGTGGGCCTTCACTGTTCATCTTGATCTCTCTTGTGAGGACATGTTGAGACCCTCAAAGCTTAACTTCCAACCCTGGGAAGGTGTTGTCTTCCTGCTGGGAAGGGTTCAAGGGACCAGGTTTCCAGAAATTGAGCCTGAGAGACTCCTCAGGCTGGAAATAACCCACTGGGAACACTGACTTTCAGGATCCCTCAGAAAATTTGTTCCAAGTGATGGGGGTGGGGGGCAGAGTGGAGCAATAGTACAGCGGGTAGGGTGTTTGCCTTGCACATGGCTGACCCGGGTTCAATCCCTGGCATTCCATATGGTCCCCCAAGCACCACCAGGAGTAATTCCTGAGTGAAGAGCCAGGAGGAACCCCTGAGCATCGCTGGGTGTGACCCAAAAAGCACTGTAGCACTGTCCTCCCATTGTTCATCAATTTGCTCGAGCGGGCACCAGTAATGTCTCCATTGTGAGACTTGTTGTTACTGTTTTGGGCATATTGAATACACCACGGGGAGCTTGCCAGGCTTTGCCGTGCGGGCGGGATACTCTCAGTAGCTTGCCGGGCTCTCCAAGAGGGGCAGAGGAATCGAACCCGGGTCGGCCATGTGCAAGGCAAATGCCCTACCCGCTGTGCTATTGCTCCAGCCTTACCCAAAAAGCCAAAAAATAAAAAATAAAAGACCAAGTTCTGTGGGACATTTGGATCAGCATATTGGGTCCCCTGAGTGCTTTACTGCAGCCCTTTCCATGGGACAAGGTGGTAGAGCAGGTATTTGAGACCCAGGAAGGGCCTGCCATGTGGGAGGCCCTGGGTTCTACCCCCAGCCCCATGCAAGGCAAGCGTCTTCCCTGGCAGGCTCTCTCCAATCCTGCAGTATATTTTGAAAGTGCTTGTTTCTACCCTCCTGAACGCCCCCTGAGCCGTGGGGACCTCTCCCTGACTCCCAGAGTTGGAGGTAGTAGACACTGGGGTCCTTGGCAGCTTCTTGCCTTCCTACCCTATCACCCCACCCCTAAGCACCTTGTCATCATGCCACAGGCCCCTGTACTTACAACCACCCACTTGCAAATGCAGACACTCACCGCCCTGCTCTACAGAGCCAGTGAGGCTTTCTGAGATTTTTTTAAAACAGAACTTTATCCAGACTATTTTATTTATTATTATTATTAATATTATATTTTGCTTTTTGGGTCACACCCAAGCGATGCTCAGGGGTCACTCCTGGCTCTGCACTCAGGAATTACTCCTGGAAGTGCTTGGGGGACCATATGGGATGCCAGGGATCGAACCTGGGTCGGCCGCATGCAAGGCAAATGCCCTATCTGCTGTCCTGTCGCTACGGCCCCCCCATTTGTGTTTTTGTTTCTTTTAATTTTATTTTTTTTCTTTTGGGGTCACACCCAGTGATGCACAGGGGTTACTCCTGGCTCTGCACTCAGGAGTTACTCCTGGCGGTGCTCAGGGAACCATACTGGATGCTGGGAATCGAACCCAGGTCGGCTGCGTGCAAGGCAAACACCCTACCCGCTGTGCTATCACTCCAACCCCGTTTTTGTTTCTTTTGAGGGTCACACTTGGCGATGTTCAGGGATTACTCCTGGCTTTGCACTCAGGAATTACTCCTGGAAGTGCTTGGGGGACCATATGGGATGCCAGGGATCAAACCCGGGTCGGCCACATGCAAGGCAACATCCTACCCGCTGTGTTATCGCTCCGGCCCCGCTTTCTGAGATTTTAACTGAGCAAAGTCAAAAGGTCAGGAGAGAGAGAGAACGCAGATGTTTGAGACCCAGGAAGGGCTTTGCGCACAAGGCTGAGATGCCAGGACCGAATCCCTGCCGGGTTAAACCAGAGAGGTGAGTTTCCGGAGCTGGAAGGGCCGAGTGGAGTTCAGGCACAGCTGGATCAATCCTCACTTCCTCAAGCTTTCATGGGCGCTGGGCCAGAAGATGTCAGGACCGCAGAGGCCCAGAAGACCTGACCCCACCCTCCAACCAGCTGTCTCCCTCCCCAGGGGTTAAGTTCGTTGCTGATCGTTCCTCTAATCCTTTCTACCTTTCTGAGACCATGGATGTCTTCTCATATAGAGAACAGGAATGGAAGAGGATTCGCGCAGTGAGTAGCCAGGACTGAGGCCTGCCCCCACCCCACAGTTCCCTCCCTCACCCAAAGAACAACCAGATGACCCTTCTCTGAGGAGCACTTTCCTCTGAGCACTCGCTCACTGTGGAAGGCTCACCGTTTCCAACGGTCAACAGCCCTGTGGCTCTGCCGGCTCTGCCTGGTCCTGGGTCTTGGACAGGTGGGCGCCCATCTGAGCCATAGTGGGCATGGCCTTGGCTACTTCATCTTTGCTTCTGCTGGCTCTGCTGGACAAGACTGTCACTGTCACTGTCCTCCCATTGTTCATCGATTTGCTCAAGCAGACCCAGTAACATCTCCATTGTGAGACTTGTTGTTACTGTGTTTGGCATATTGAATATATCACGGGTAGCTTGCCAGGCTTTGCCGTGCGGGTGAGATACTCTCGGTAGCTTGCCGGGCTCTCCGAGAGGGGAGGAGGAATCGAACTCGGGTTGGCCATGTTGGCTGCGTGCAAGGCAAACGCCCTACCCGCTGTGCTATTGCTCCAGCCCACTGGACAGGACAAGCTCTCCTAAATCTTCTTGTCTCCCTGAAACCCCAGGAACCCCTTGACATCCCCCAGGAATGTCGCCTCAGCTCCAGCCATGCATGGTTCCCTCTGGCTGAGATTGAGATTCTTGGAGAGTCAGACACACACACACACACACACACACACACACACACACACACACACACACACCCCTTGGGCATTATTCTGGGACTTCCAGTCTCCACCCCCACCCATTCCAGGCCTGCACCCCAGTACAGTCTTCGTCCCCCTCTTTGTTGAGCACCTCCCTCTCCCCCGGCAGGCAAGGGAGCACCCCACCAGGGGCATCTTCCCAAAAGTGGCCAGACATGACCATGGTCTGGGAGCCATTCCCAGACATTAAGACTTGGCCAAGGTCATGAAGCTCCCTCCAGGGCCGACTGTCCATCGACTCAGGGCTCAGCCTGAGGCCACCAAATGGGCCAGGATGTATACACAGATGACCTCGAGCCCCCTAGATGCCCCACGAGGAGAGCCCCCCAGCCCTGCTTCCCCATCCTCTGAGCAGCTCTGGCACCACACACACACACACACACACACACACACACACATACACATGCCACACACAGCACATCCCCTCCGCCATCCAGCACAGCCCCTGCCTTGCCTGACGTCACCCCAAGTAACTGTGCCCCAGGATCTGTGGGGCAGGAGTGTCTGGGGCGCTGAGCTAATGTGGAGAGACTCAGGGTCTGGACAAGAGCCTGAAGTCCTGGGGAGAAGGGTCCCTTCACCCCAACTTGGGTCTCCCCTGGTGAAGAGCTGGGAGGTTAGCCTGGTCACCGCAGGGAGGAGAGCTGGGGAGGGCACCTCTAGGGGTGGCAGTGCTCCCCCCAACACTGTCAGGGCACTCAGTGAGTCCCCCGGAACCTGGATCGGGGTGCTAACCGAGCGGTCCCGGGTTGAATCGCGACAAGAGGAGCATCACTGAGCCAGACCAGTGCGTATCCCCCGCCCGCGGCGCCCCCAGCCCGGCTCCTGGGCGTGCAGGCACTGGCCCCACTGAGGAGACCCCTGGGCAGTCCCTCCTCAGCCGCAGGGGAGGGGGAGGCGGGCCCCTCCCGACCCCCGCCCCGCCCCCAGGAGCGGATTCAGAAGCGGAGCCAGTCGGTGCAGGAGAAGAAGACGCTGTCGTCCAAGACGCTCCCCAAGCACTCGGACCTAAAACGCGAGCTGCAGCAGCAGGACCGGCAGGACCACGAGGAGATGCGCGCCGAGGCCGAGAGGCAGCGAACCTTCCAGCAGAACACGCTCTGGAAGCTCCTCATGACCAAAGGTACACGCGCCCGCGGGCTGCTTACAACGGGGTCCCTCGCGAGTCTGCCCCCGACCTTGAATCAGCGGCTCTGCAGGCCCTGTTGCGTGCGGAAAATCAGGCCCCGCAGGAGGTGGTCAGACGCCCATGCCTGGGTCCGGGCTGGCCGCAGCGTTCTGTGGCCTCGCTGCCGTCCGGCGAGGTGCCCGCTCCTTTACTGGGTGATTGACGGGCGACAGAGCGGCCTCATGAGTCTTGCTACGCCACCGAGGGGAAAGCAGATCTAACCCCACTGTTATTTTTATGACCCAATAGAAATCTTTTTCTTTCTTTTTTTTCTTTTCTTTTTTTTGGGGGGGGGGGGAAATGGGTGTGGGGGGTGGGGCCAGTGCTCAAGAGACTATTCCTGGCTCTGTGCTCAGGAATGACCCCTGGGGAACAGAGGTGGAAGAACCATGTGGTGCCAGAGATTTAATGGGGTTTGCAACATGCAAAGCAAGCACCTAACCTCTGTGCTACCCCTCTGGCACAAAGCTTTTTTTGGGGGGGCGGGGCATGTCTTATAGGGGCAAAACAAGCTCTATCCTGAACTACATCCCTTTACTTACCGGCCTTGTAGGAAATCTTTTTTCTTTTTTTTTTTAAATGGAATCAGTGTGAGATACACAGTTACACAGTTGTTCATGATTGGGTTTCAATCATACAATGTTCAACACCTGTCCCTTCACCAGGGTACATTTCCCAACAACCACCCACTGCACCCAATCAGTCATCTTCTCCTTCTCCGTCTCCTTCTCCTTTTCCTTCTCCTTCCTCCTCCTCCTCCTCCTTCGTCGTAGTCGTCATCTTCTTCTTCTTCTTCTTCTTCTTCTTCTTCTTCTTCTTCTTCTTCTTCTTCTTCTTCTTCTTCGTCGTCGTCGTCGTCGTCGTCGTCTCCTCCTCCTCCTCCTCTTCCTCCTCCTCCTCCTCCTCCTCCTCCTCCTCCGTCTTCTTCTTCTTCTTCTTCTTCTTCTTCTTCTTCTTCTTCATCTCCCCTTCCTCCTCCTCTTCCTCCTCCTCCTCCTCCTCCTCCTTCTTCTTCTTCTCCTCCTCCTCCTCCTCCTCCTCCTTCTCCTCCTCTTCCACCTTCTCTCCCTCCCTCCCTCCCTCCCCCCCTTTCTCTCTCTTTCTCCTGGGCATTATGGTTTGCAGTTCAGGTACTGAAGAGTTGTCATACATATCCCTTTATCTACTCTCAGCACTCAGATCTTGCGTAGGAAATCTTTAGTACTGAGTCCGTATTAATATTCTAGCAAACCCAATGATAAAACATATCACAAAACTAGAAAAGGCAATGGCAGATGGGAAGCAGGCTGAGGACTGGAGCGCATGCCCGGTCTGCGAGCGGGGCCCTGGTTGGACCCCCAGCACTGAAATATCACATGGTCTCCTGAGCAACCCTTAGAACCAAAGTGTGTGGCTCCACCCCCCCCCCCCCCGACCCCAAGGCGGTAGGGCCCAGTGCTGGAACGCACTGGGGTAAGTTTACTTCATCAGTCCCCAACGTGACCACACCCCGCAACTGTGGCTTATTGGTTGGGAGGTAGGAAGCGCTGGTGTAAGGCGTGTTGCCCTCAGCAGGTGTGGAAGCACAGGACCCGAGAGAGGCAAGTGGCATCTGACCCCTAGGGTCAGGGGTCTCTGCGTCCCGGTTTCTCTCCCCCACCTCCTGGGTTCCATTCCCAGCACCACATAGAGTCCCCCAGCCCCACCAGGGGTCGCTCCTGAGCACAGAGCCTGGAGTAAGCCCTGAGCCCAACCAGACGTGGCCCTAAAACAAGCAAAACAGCCCCAGCTTCCATCATGGAGCAGCTGGGATAGGCAGAGGCTTCTCCAGGGAGCTCAGGGTGGTGGAGACGCGGCCGACGGGAGCCTGCCTGAGTCTTCACTAGCTGCACCCAAGTACTGCCGAGGAGACGGTGGGCAGGACCTGGGAGGGGACAGCACCTCCTTCCTCACTCCCCACCCCGTACTCCAGCTGATCAACCTATTGTGAAGTCCAGTGGGGTCACTTTCCAGGTCACGGGGCCCTATCCAGGGGTGCAGAGAGCACTAGTGAGCATCAGACACCTGAATGGACGCTCCCCTTTCTGACCCATCCAGGCTCCAGCCCTAGACAGTGAAAACCTGTGTGCAGAATCTTGTTTCCTGGTACAGGGTCAGGACACCCCGGGCACCGAGGCTGACCAGGTGGCTCCGGTGTGCGGCCCACCCTCCTGACATGCCTCTCGTCTCCTTCCAGAAAAGAAAACTGAATCGGAGGACATCAACAAGTACATTGAGCGCAAGCGGCAGATGTTCCTCCTCCAGGTAGGCCTCCGGGCACCCCCATGGCCTTCGCGGGGACCTCAGCCAGCAAGTCCCAGCGTGGAGCAAGTGTGACCACTGCCGCTCGCCCGGGGGCCCCCTCAGTATGCCCTGGATATGAAGCGGAATGAGATCCAGCGGATGGAGATGCTGATGAGCAAGGAGGAGGAGGAGCTGGTGAGGGCCGAGAAGTCCCTGGAGAAGGACGCGTCCCTGTTTGATGAATTCCTGCGGGACAATGACTGCAGCTCCGTGCAGGCGCTGAAAGTGTGAGCGCTGCTGCCGTCCAGACAGCCCTGGCCCCTGCCCCGAGCCCAGCCTGCCCCCGCCCCCCTCCTTAACAGTGCCAGCCACCAGCTCCCCAATGGCCTTTACTGCCCCCCACCCCCCACCCCCAGGGCTGAGAAGGAGACCAAAGCCAAGATGGAGAAGATCATTGAGATCCGGGATCTGACAGTGCAGATGTTGAATATCAAAAGGTGACGGCTCAGGGCTGGAGGAGACATTGTACATAGAGCAGGGAGGACCCTGGCCTTGCTTGCAGCCCACCATAGCTCTGTCTCTAGCATAGGGTCCCCTGAGCACTCCAGGAGTGATGCTTGAGTGCAGAGCCAAGAGTAACCCCTGAGGGGCTGGAGCAATAGTACAGTGTCCTCCCATTGTTCATCGATTTGCTCGATCAGGGCCCAGTAACGTCTCCATTGTGAGACTTGTTCCTGTGTTGGCATATTGAATGCGTCATGGGGAGCTTGCCAGGCTTTGCCTTGCCGGCGAGATATTCTCAGTAGCTTGCCGGGCTCTCTGAGAGGGGCAGAGGAATCAAACCCGGCTTAGCCGGACTGGCTGCGGGCAAGGCAAGCGCCCTACCGCTGTGCTATCGCTCCAGCCCCAATAGTACAGCAGGGAGGGCATTTGCCTTGCATACAGCCGACCCAGGTTCGATCTCCAACATCCTATAGGGTCCCCTGAGGACCGCCAGGACTAATTCCTGAGTGCAGAGCCAGGAGGAACCCCTGTGCATTGCCGGTGTGACCCAAAAGGCCAATAAATAAATTAATTAATTTAAAAAAAAGAGTAACCCCTGAGCATTGCCAGGTGTTCCTCTCCACTCAAATAAATAAAAATAAATAAATAAATAAATAAAGGTGAGGGTGACTCAGGGCTGGAGCGACAATAGTCTAGCAGGTGGGATGTTCACCTTGCACCCAATCAAGCTGGATTCAATCCCCAGCATCCCATAGGCACCGCCAGGAGTGAATCCTGAGAGCAGAGCCAGGAGTAACCCCTGAGCATCACCGGATAGGGCCTAAAAACCAAACCCTTGGGGGAGGGGGAGGGGTGGTGGTTAGACTGTGAGGGGAGCACTGGGCCCTGTTTTGCAGGTGAGGTTAAGAGGCCTAGAGGAATTGGGTGATTTACCCAAGGTCCCACCACCAGGGGGCAGCACCCAGCCCCAGCTCCACCTGTGGCCTCCAGCAAGAGGAACAATCCTTAATCAGGGAGCAAGTCTGTCCTGGCCTGGGGAGAGGGGTGGCGGGGAGGGCATGGTGGCCCTCAGCCCTTCTCTGCTTCTCCCTGGGGTCTAGTGAAATGTCCAAATTTGAGGATACACTCCAGCAGTACAAAGTCTACAAGGAATTCCTATACAAGCTGTCACCCCGGGAATGGCTGGAAGAGCGGAAGAAGAAGCACCCGCTGGTCAAGTTGTCCCGAGAGAAGAGTGAAGATACTGCCTTGCTCTCCGCCAGCCCCGGTTCGATCTCCAGCCTCCCATATGGCCCCCTGAGCACTGCTAGGAGCGATCCCTGAGTGCAGAGCCAAGAGTATTCCCTGAGCATTGCTGGGTATAGACACCCCAACCCACCCCCGCCAAAAAAAAAGAAAAGAAAAGAAAAGCCAGAGAGGAACCCAAGGGTGCTCAAAGAAAGCAGTAAAGGGAACCACCAGGGACCACCTCTGCCCTGGGTGCAGCAGGCAAGGGCCATGGAAGCCTCCTTCGTGGCCCCGCCAGAGTGGCAGGCGCTCCGTGGCCTGCAGCCTCCAAAGTCTCTCCTGGGCAGGGAGTGAGTTCTAACCCAGACTCTGGGGGTTTTCAGCTCTCGTGCAGCCAGGAGGATCCTGGGAGAGCCCCGTGGCCCCGAGCAGCACCCTAGCACCCCCTTTCCTACAGTCCCATCAGATGCCAAGGCCAAAGTGGAGTCGAAGAGCGGGTCGCTCTTGCAGCTGGATCCTGCCCCGCTTCTGCTGTCAGCAGACAGGAAGAGCTCCAAGAGGCTCCTGAAGCGCTCACAGCAGCCCCACAGCAGCCTGGGCAAGTTCACCCTGCAGAGCAACCTGTCCTCGCCCAGTTCCAAGTCCAGCCAGTTGGACATGAAGTTGTAAGTGGCCACGTGGCCTCTGGGGGTCCACCTGGAGGCTAAGGCGGCGTGAATACGTGAGGACAGCCTCAAGGGGCCACCGGAACGGGAGATTCTGGCTCACTCCCACACTCTGTCCTTTGGTCCAGGGTCCTTGGATGCTGGCTGCGGAGACTAGAGGGCCAGGGCCTGTTAGGAGAAACAGGAAACCTGGATTTTCATAGGTTACCCAGATTTCAGTGTCAATTTTCATGTTTCCTTTGTTTTGCGGTGTGAGGCAGCGTGCAGGACTAAACCTGGGCTCTCACTTGCCAAACACTTTTTTTTTTTCATTTTTGGGGCTGAAGCGATAGCACAGCAGTAGGGCGTTTGCCTTGCGCACAGCCGGCCTGACCGAGCCAGGTTCGATTCCTCCGCCCCTCTCAGAGAGCCTGGCAAGCTACCAAGAGTATCTCTCCCGCACCCATAAAAAGCACAACCCTCAAACAAGGTGCAGGCTGAGATCTCGACCCGCCCAGTTCTGAAGTGCCTCCTCCTCTCCCAGCCTTGCCCCCTCACCCCCCCCCCCCCCCCAGCATGCAGATAGTGGGAATCAACAGAAAGAAGAGGCAGGCAGGGTGATTGTGCAAAAGAGCTTCCTCCTGGAAGAGAGGCAAAGGAGTTAGGCTCAACCTTCCTGCTGGCCCCATTCTCACCCAGTGGGGGCGCTATGGGTCCCTTTCAGTCTAATTTTCTGGTGACTTGCGTTTTCAAGTAGAGTTCATTGATAGGAAAGTGTAGGTTCTGCCAGGTCATGTTATCATAAGGTGGCCACCCACACAAGACCAAACAAGACAAAAGGGGAGGACTTGGGGGGATGGAGGCAGAGGAGAGGAGGCTGAAGCCTTTCCTTTCCTCTGGTTCTGCAAGGAGGACCTCATGAGACAAGGAATAGGACTGACTGGGTTGGATGGACAGGAGCCTGCAGGCTTCTCAGCTGTATAGTACCTAGTCCTGGTCCTTTAGGGAAGACTGGGAAGCTCGATGGCTGCCATCAACCAGAGACCATTGGACAGTCAGGTTTGGGTCCGCAGTGACAAGACATGCGGGGCCTCATGGGACAGGGGTGGAGCCGGCCCTTTCCTCCCCGTACCAATGAGACCCCAAGTCACCGCCCATAAACGGCCTTTCTGGCTCCTGATCAAGCTGCTTAACGGCCATGATCCAAGAGACTCAGGAACAAATCTTGGAACCCAGCAGGTTTTGGCAGATATCCCTCCAGATTTGGTTGTTGGGATTTCTGAGTTTCAGGGTCATGCAGCCACTACTGCAGCCATGCGACATTGTGTGTTGTTCATGGTCAGCAGTAGAAAGCAGGTTGTCTACTGTTGCCTTTTCGGGGGATCTGGGTGTTGGGGTGGAATCCCAGGTGGTGAGGGTGGTTCTGGTGTCAAAATGTTGAGTGTGGTCGGGGTGAAGGGAGAGTGATGTGGAGGTTGTCTGCCCCACAGGTGGGGGGAGGGTGTGGGATGGGGGTATACTGGGTTTTTTTTTGGGGGGAGGGTGGGCACTGGTGGGGATGTGGATGTTTTGTTGTGTGACCGAGATTTGAACCCAGGGGCTTTGTGACTGCTCTCACGGTAATTCAATAAATGGTGGAAAACGGAAAGGAAAAAAAAAAGTAAGGTGGAGTTCATGCCCAATTAAATCAGCTTATCAGGGGCTGAATAAATAACAGTACTCCTACATAAAAACAAATAAATTAAATAAATAAATAATGAGAATCCTCCTTACAGGGACCAGAATTTTTTTTTTTAAGGGGAGGGCTGGAGGGTGAACAGGGGAGTGATCCCTTAGGTGGCTTTCACTGTGTTGATTTGCATTTAAAAAGCACCTTCAGTGGGCTGGAGCGATAGCACAGCGGGTAGGGCGTTTGCCTTGCATGCAGCCAACATGGCCGACCCAGGTTCGATTCCCAGCAACCCAGCTCGGTTCCCTGAGCACTTCCAGGAGTGATTCCTGAGTGCATGAGCCAGGAGTGACCCCCTGAGCATCGCTGGGTGTGACCCAAAAAGAAAAAGAAAAGCACCTTCACAGGGACTAGAGGGATAGTACAGAGGGTAGGGCACTGGCCCTGTACGCAGCTTATCTGGGTTTGACCCCAGGCATCCCATGAGGCCCCCAAACACTGCCAAGGGAAACGCCCAAGTATAGAGCCAGGAGTAAGTGCTGAGCATCTCTGGGTGTCACCGAAAAACAAAGCACGAGAAGATGCACCCTTGGCTAATGTGTCAGTGGTGCCTTGGCCTCCGGGGGTCCCTATAAGACTCCCTGCCCCCCCCCTTTACATCAGCTGGCTCTGGGCCCAGAAGTGCCTCTGCCCTGCCCACAGAACCTGCCTACCTGGGCTGTGAGGGGTCAGCTGAAGTTGGGTCCCCAAACTGAAAGGCCAATGCCCTGAGCCTGCGAGGTCTTTGCCACACCTGAGGAGGTGCCCTGGGGGTAGCTGGAGGCTGAGAGGGTCGCAGTAGATGAGAGTGGACCCTTCCAGGACCTGAATAGAGGAGCAGACAGATCCTAGGATGGAGGGAGCTGGCTGGGGTCGGCGCTTGTGCAAAGTTCCTGTGGTCAACACCTAGAGCTGGGAACCATGCTGACACTGGTGGGTGGGGATGGGAGACTAGAGGAGGTGACGTGCAGCAGTAGGGGCTTCATAAACTCCTGGGAGATGAGTTTCCTTTTTCCTGGAGATGAGCTCACTGAAGTTGAAAACTCGCCCCTGGTATCTGGGTGACAGATGGGGGTCAAGAGGAGGCAGGTGACACCATTTGGGAAACTTCTGGGCCGATTGACGGAGCCCGAGGGCCTGGAGGTGCCGCTCTGGTGATGTCAGGCGCCCTCAGCCCAGGATACCCAGGATCAGGTGGTCGTGCCCTAATCCTGTGAGTCTCTGCAGGTCTGGCTCCTCCACCCTCCATTTGCCAGAAGAAAGGGAGAGCGATGAAGAGGTAAGTGGCCTGGCTGTGGGGGTGGTGGGAGTGGTTTGGGGCGGGGTCAGGGTGGTCCTTGGGCGGGGCCTGGCTGCGATGGGGCTAGAAAAGGGCGGGGCTGGGTCGAGGAGGGTGGGGCTAGGGGCGGGGCTAAGGAGGGGCGGGGCTAAAGGGATGGAGCTAGGGCAGGGACTGGCTGGGTCAGGAAGGGCTGGGGCGGGGTTAGGGAGGGGCGGGGCCAGAGGGGTGGAGCTAGGGCAAGGATGGGCTGGGTCAGGAAGGGATGGGGCGGGGTTATGGAGGGCGGGGCGAAGGATGGGCGGGGCTGGGGCGGGGCTAGGGAGGAGCAGGGCTAGGGCTGGGGCGAGGCTAGGGAGAGGTGGGTTTAGGGTGGGACAGAGGCTGGGCCGGGTGGGCTAGGCCCGGCCTTGCAGGGTTGGCAGACATGTGGCCGCCTCGCTGTGCTCCGTGGCTGTCTTGCAGGAGCTGGATCTGTATTTCACCGAGCCCAAGCAGCTCCTGGATATCTTCGTGGTCCTGGAGGAGCAGAACCTCTCTCTGATCCAGAACACTCAGGAGATGCAGGAGACCCTGGACGACCTAGGATTCACCATGAGAAACACCAGAATTCGCATGTAGGTCTCTCCCTGGCTGGGGTAGGGGCACCACTGGCGGCCATACTGCGACACCCCCCTCTGCCCACTTTCTGGAAAACTCTATTTGAAGGGGCCAGGAAAATAGCAAAGGGTGAGAGCCCTGTATCACTGGTGTGGCTCTGGGGAGCCCCAGGCTTGCCAAGGTGGCCCTGGTGGTCCCTGGCAACACAGATTCTAGTGGTAAGGCATCCTTGGGCCAAGCATAAACTGTGGACTCAGCTGGCCTGGTCCTGCTGAGTACCACCATTCCACCCACCCCCACACCCACCCCAGCCCTGTGCATCTTGAACACCTCTGAGGGGCCCCTGCCACACACACCAAAAATAGCAGCAGTAGCAGAGCACTTGATGTGAGTCTTCCAGGCCTGGCTCTGGGCCGGGGTAGGCCAGGTGGGTGGGGCCCTGGGTTGGTCAGAGCAGCACAACAACCCCCCTCCCCCACTGTACTTCTGTCCACGGCTGTGCTTCTGTCCACCAGAAGAGCCCAGCTGGTCAGTGAGGCTGGCTGGGAGCAAAGAACCATCAACTCACTCCTGAGTACTGCAGAGCCTCTATGCTGGGGCCAGCAGGGACCATAGCAGTTACTGACAGCCAGTGTCCGCAGAAAACCGCACCCCCCCCCCCCCCCCCCCGTGTCACAGATGCTAGAAAGTGACAGATGCTAGGAAGAAAACAAAGAGATCTCATGAGAGGGGCCCCAAAGTATAGTGTGACCCCAGGTGGGAGAAGGCAGGGAGCACTTCCCAGAGGGAGTGGTACTGAAAACACACTTCCTGAGGAATGGGAAGAAAGCCAGCAGTGCTTGGATCTGGGGTGAGTGGGTCCCAGGCAGTGGAGGGCATGAACAGAGGTCCTGAGTTGGGGGTCAGCTTCCTATGCATGGCGACTGTCCTGCCTTCAGGGAGTCCCAGGATGAGATGAAATCACCAATATTTGGGCAGGACCGTGCTTTCTCGGGAGCTGAGGGGAGCAGGCACGGAGAGAGGAGCTGGGGAAAGAAGCCTGATGCCCTGGTTCTGAGAACAGTAAGAGGCCCCCACACATGCGCACACACATGCACATACCCCCTGAAGCGGAACTGGTGTGTGTTTATGAAGTGTGTGTGTGGAGGGGGGAGGGGGACTACTCTCCAGTAGCTGGTCCTCATCAGTGGAACCACTGCCAAGGATGCCAACACTATTTCCAGGCTACTCAGAGCCTGGGCATTAAACATATGTTAAAGTAGCCACCCTTTCTTGCAAAGAGAAGACACCTTTAAAATGCCTATATAAGGGGGCTGGAGCAATAGCACTGCGGGTAGGGCGTTTGCCTTGCACGTGGCCGACCCGGGTTTGATTCCCAGCATCCCATATGGTCCCCTGAGCACCGCCAGGGGTGATTCCTAAGTGCAGAACCAGGAGTAACCCCTGTGCATCGCCAGATGTGCCCCAAAAAGCAAAAAAACAAAAAGCATATACAACAGAAAAACATCAGAATAGGTTTCCCTACTAAATGAAATGGAATCAGTAATGCACACCTGTCAAGAACAGGAAAGACAGATCCAGACAGAGTCTCCCATGACTATTTCAGTAGCAGAGTCAAGGAAGAAATTACACCAATTCCCTCCAAATCTCCTTTAGACCATGGAAACATTATACACCAAGACCAGTGGGGATTTTCCCCAGGCATGCAAAAGCAGCTCAACCTCTGGAAATTAATTCATATCACCGAGCACATCAACAGGCTAAAACAGAAAAATGACATGATCATTTCAATGGATGCTGAAATAAGTGTTTGATAAAATTTAATATCTATGCAATTAAAAAAAGCCTTTCAAAACCAAAAACATCTACAAAACTCCAACAATTAGTCTCATACTTAAAGTGTTCCGCTAAGATCAGGAACAATGCAACACTTCACCATTCAGCATGACCGTCACTCTGGGAATCCCGCCTAGTGCAATAAGACAAGAAAAGGAAATGGAACAATGATGTAGCATGGGCATACCTGGAGCATCTGCCTCACATGTGCGAGGACATGGGTTTGCTTTGAGCACTGCCAAAGAAGAGGGGGAGAAGGAAAGGAAATCAAAGGCAAACAACTTGGGAATAAAGATGTGTCTTTGTTCCCAGATCGTCTCTGTAGAAAATACCAAAGTATCCACAACAAAATGTTCCTGGAAGTAATGAAGCCACCATAGAAAGGCTAATACAGAAAACAAGATGTATAGAACATAGTCTCTTCCCTTAAGCCAGCAATGAACAAGTGGGACCTAGGTTTTAAGTGTGCCATTGTGTGGGTGGGAAAGGTTACGTTTCACACAAGTGCTGTTTCATACAAGGAAAGCAGATTCTCTACCCCTGAACCTTATCTCAAGCCATATCCATTTTTTGATTGAAAAACAACACCACTTAATTACCATCACTGCAAAAATGAAATGCCCAAGTGTAAACCTAACAAGACTATGTGCAAGATCTACGTGAGGAAAACTAAACTTCTGAAAGAAATCAGAGAAGGAAGAAATTAATGAAGAGGTATTCCATGATGATGGGAGGAAGATAGACTATTGACACAATACAATTTCTTCCTGGGGACTGGAGGAAGTACAGTAGGTAGGGCACTTGCCTTGCACTCAGATGATCTGGGTTTGATCCCTGGCACCCCAATATGGCCCCCAGAGCTCCACCAAGAATGATCCATGAGCACAAACCCAAGAGTAAGCCCTGGGCACAGCTGGGTATGGTCCCACCCCTCCAAAAAAAATTAACAAGAAGAAATTCTTCCCACCTTGATGCACGAATTCAGTGAAATCTTGGTCAAATCCTCAGCATATGACAATGGGCTCCACAAATGGGCGCTAAAGCTTAAGTGTAGACACAAAAGGTCAAGAGAAGCAAGCAAAGACCCTCTGGAGGAGAACAAAGTGAGACACTGACCCCGCCCAACTTTGATTTATTCTAAAGCTACAGTAATCAAGACGTGTGGTATTGGCTGAAGAACAGACACACAGGTATGGGGGTCAGAATAGTTGGGCCAGAAATAAGCCCACCTCAGTGTAAGCCCACCAGCGGATCTCTCACCCACTAGCCAGGGCAGCACAAAGGAGCCAAATTGTCCTTTCCTAAGTGGTGCTGGAACCATCGACAGCCACATGGCAGAAATGTTTATAAAAACCTAACACGTCCTGGAGCCGGAGCAATATTATACCAGGTGGTAGGGCATCTGCCTTGCACATGTCCGATCCAGGTTCAGTCCCTGGCAAATCCCATATGGTCCCCTGAGCAATGCTAGGAGTAATTCCTGGCACCTTATCCACTGAACTATCTGTCCAGCCCCTTCTGATTCTAAGAATTTTAAAATTTATTTTTGGACCATACCTGGAGGTGCTCAGGGCTTACTTCTGGCTCTGAGGCCAAGAATCAATCCTCGCAGTGCTTGGGACCTCAGCTGCTCCCGATCTGGGCACCCTCAAAAGCAAAGGTATCAGACATGATGAACTATTTTTTTTCCTCTAATTTGCACTCTATCTGTAAATATCCAATCAGAATTGACAGCAGGTCCTGGGTATGGGGACCAGAGAACAGGACGTGCTCTGCATGCAGCTGACCCCCTGTTTGAACCCCAACAACACATATCTCCCCCCTCAAAAAAGTATTCCTGGGTGCATTCCTTGGGGCGGGAGGGTCCCTGAGCATCACTGAAGTGGCCCGGAGCCGGAGTACCATTGGGCTCATGCAGAATCAGGGGCTCCCAATAATTAACAAAAGGGAACAGGGAGTCTTCAGATCACCAGCTAGGAATGCTCCCTAGTCCTACTAAACAAACAAAACCCTTTAAAAATAAAAACAGCCCATTTTGTGATGTCCACATTATTACCAAGAGCCAAAACTCCAACATCCAGGGCTGGAGAGATAGCACAGTGGGTAGAGCGTTTGCCTTGCACGCGGCCGACCCGGGTTCGATTCCCAGCATCCCAGCATTCCCTGAGCACCGCCAGGAGTAACTCCTAAGTGCAGAGCCAGGAGGAACCCCTGTGCATCGTCAGTTGTAACCCAAAAAGCAAAAAAAAAAAAAAAACCTCCAACATCCATTCATGGATGAAAGATCCAATCAATGAAAACTAGACCGACACTGGAATTTCCTTCAGTGACAAGAAGCAGCGAAATCCTGACAGCTGCCACAGGAATGGCCTTGAAAACGTGACCTCAGCAAGAGGTCATGCCTGAGCAATGTGCAGAAGAGAAAAGGCAGGGGAAGGGAAGACAGGGCATGTGTACTAATGTGTCTTTCTCTGGTAAGGGAAATGGTCTCAGATTATTGTGGGGCCGATAGTGTAGTGAATATACAGGAAATGACTCAATGTGGGCCAGACAGACAGCTCGTGGGGACATGCTTTGCATGTTGACCTCCAGAGTTCCGATCCCTGGCATAGTCCCCAAAGCAGTGCAGGGAGCAACTTCCGAGCAAGGACAGGTATGTCAACTGTCCATCACGGTGGATATCACAGTGGGGGGCGAGGATAGTCTTTGGGTCATACCCAGTCATGCTTCAGGGGTTACTCCTGGCTCTGCACTCAGGAATTACTCCGGGTGGTGCTCAGGGGACCATATGGAGTGCCAGGGATCGAACTCAGGCCGGCTGTCTGCAGGGCAAGCGCCCTAGCCACTGTAATTGTTCCTGTCCCTGGACTGTTCAGACTGTTCACCTTAAACCTTATGGTCTTTGGAGGGTGGAGGAGGGAAGATGACTGTGGTGGTGGGATTGGTGTTGAACTACTAAGTGCCTGTAACGAATCATCATGAACAACTTTGTAAATAAACCATGGTGTTTAAATGGGGTGTGTGGGGGGGAGGGGAATCTTAGGATCTGTGAGTTAGACGGCAATGAAAGTGTTTCTTCAGGCGATGTGTTACCGCTGCGTCTCACCAGCTGTGACCTCTGGGTCTGCAGACACTGGCACTCGGGATCCATCCCATGCGCACAGAGAGCCAAGTGCCTGCCGCTCCCTCCGCAGGGACAAGGAGATCAAGCAGCTGAAGGAGTGGATGAAGACGCTGATGGAGTCCATCAACAAGGAGGAGGAAATGGCGGCTAACCTCCAGCTCAAGGCCCGAGTCTTCTACTATGGTGAATACAAAGGCGGCCAGGAGGTAAGCACTGTGGAGAGGTATTGGGGTGGGTGGGAGAATCATGGGCACCCAGAGCCCAGCAGCGGAGTGGAAACATGGCTGGGCATCATACCTGGTCCCTAGGGAGGAACTGCTCCATGCAGACATGCCCCATGGTGCCCAACACCCCCTCCCTGCTCTCCTTAGTTCAACCAATGTTGCTTCCCAGGCATAGTGTCCAGAGGCACCTTGCTTGGAGAAAGACAGTCCAGGAGGGGTCTCGGGTAGGACAGGACTTGGTGCTGACCAAGATGGGCAGCTCTCTGGGTGCAGGCTTGGGGGTGGTGCCAGTGTCCATGTCCTGCTGGGCCTTGCCGGGTGCTGGTGGTGCCCCCGGACCTTGAAGAGTGAACGTGTAAGAACAGGGATGGAAGAGGGGCAACACTGATTGGCCCTGGCTGCCCCTAAAGTGGCTGACAGGACAGGGTCTGGGGTTGAGTCAAGGTCAGCAGTGGGTCAGGCAGATTAGAGCGGGCTCCCTGGAAGAGGGGCCTGAGGGGGGCCGGACCCCAAGCTCCGCGCCCTGGCTAGGAAAGCCCAGGAGGTCAAGCTCTTCCTGAACCTCCTTCCTGTGTCGGACTGGGGTGGGGGGTGGGAGGGGCGGTGGTGCAGGCCCGCACCTCTGCTGGAGGCCCACCCACCTCACAGGACAGGCTGCTGGAGAGCCTGAACCGCAAGGTGTTGTCCGTGTACAAGCACTGCATCGGCAGCAGTCAGGAGACCAACCTGGGCACCCTGCAGATGCTCACTGTCATCGAGCACCAGCTCCACGAGCTGCTCGAGAACCTGGAGCGCATGCCCCCCTCCAAGGTGGAGCAGGCTGAGATGGCCAAGGAGAAGGAGCGGCGTCAGAGGTAAGCGCCGGGCAGCCCCCCGCCTGCCTCTGGGACCCGTGAGGGCACCACGCTGTGAGCCCTGGGCTCGTGCAGGGCGGTTGGAGAATGAATGGTGGTGGGAGGATGAATGTTGGGTGCATCCCCGGCCTGCTAGCCGTGGCTCCTCTGCGTGTGGCCTGCTCGGCACGTTACTCCTATGCAGAGCGCAGGACAGCAACCGGTGGTCCCTCAAACAAGCTCAAAGGCCCTTCCTGGGTTCCTGTTTCCAGCTTGGTCCTGGGCAAGGCCCAAGGAGTCAAGGTGGCCCTGGAGACAGAGCCCTGAGCTTGCTGGGACTGGCCTGTAGGGAGCGCCATGGTCCTCATCCCTGAGCTGGGTACTATGGGCAAGGGGGCAAGGGGGAGGGGGGAGGAGTCTGGGGGTACAGGCTCCTGGGAGCCTTAGAGGGCCTGTTCCGGGAAGCTGGAACACCAGAGAGAGGGGCTGAAGCTGGGCGTGGGGCTGCATCCTCATGGTGGGGAGAGGGTGGGTTGGCAGGATTGGGGGGCGGCACTGGGAAGATTCCTGGGAGTTGCCGTGACTCCTGGGGCGGCTGCCACCAGGGCCCGAGAGGAGAAGATCCGGCAGCAGAAGCTGCAGCAGGAGGAGCGGCTGGCGCGGTTCCAGGCACGGTCCCAGGCGGAGATCAAGAAGAAGGTGGGCAGGGGCCACTGGCCACCCACAGTCCACTCGGGGGCCTGTCCACGCACATCCCTCAGCACTAGGGGAGACTGGGAGACCCAGGCCTCCACCCTGTGCGCCCCTAGGCAGGCCTGAGCCCCGAAACAGCTCCAGTAGACCGTGAGCCAGGGAGCTTTCTGGGAGCTGCTTCACACCATCTCCATGAACTCAGGGAGGGAGGCGTGCAGGGGTGAGGGGAATTGGGGAGGGGGCTGATATCGGACACACCTGGAGGCGGGCACCCCATCCCTCCCGTTACCCCACCTCCACACCCGAGGCCAGCACCCCTTCCTGTACCTGCCCATACATTGCCCCCAGAGGCCAGTCCCCCCTCTTGTAGCCCCCCCCAACTCACCTCTCCCCAGGCTGACACCAAGGAACAGCTCCATGGCGTGGGCCTGGCCTCCCCAGGACTCCAGGCTGTGTGTGTGTGTGTGTGTGTGTGTGTGTGTGTGTGTGTGTGTGTGTTGGGACGTCTCATAGCAAGGAACAGCACAACTGCGTGGGCCTGACCTCCCCAGGACTTCAGGCTGTGTGTGTGTGTGTTGGGGTCTCATGGCAAGGAACAGCTCCACTGCGTGGGCCTGGCCTCCCCAGGACTTCAGGCTTTGTGTGTATGTGTGTATGTTGGGACGTCTCATGGCAAGGAACAGTTCCATTGTGTGGGCCTGGCCTCCTTAGGACTCCAGGCTTTGTGTGTGTGTGTGTGTGTCTGCGCGCACACGCACACATGCATCTTAGGATGTCTCATGGCACCCCCAACTGCAGGAAGGCAGGCGGCTGGTGTACCGTTCTAAGCCCCTGGAGGTGAAAGCCAAGGAGGTGGCCCCGCAGGAATGGGTTGACAAGGAAAAGGAGGAGCTGCTGTTCTTCTTCACGTAGCAGGACGGGCAGAACAGTCCGAAGCCTGCATGGCCCGTCTTATGCTGCCGCTCCCTCTGCACCTCCGTGCGCTCCGCCCCCCCCCCCCCCCACCTTCCCGTCATGTCCTGCTGGACCCTCCCTCGTGTGAAATAAACTTGTGTTTGGTACCTCGGGCCTGTTTAAGGAGAAGGCCCGCTCCACAGGTCTGTGTCCACAGTGAGATGCTGGCGTGCGGGTGGGGCCTTGGCTCCCTCGGCAAAGGGTACGGTGGAAGAACACGTTGACTCCCTGGCAGGAGGAGGGTTGGGGTTCACCTCGACACCAAACTCAGCAAAGCAAGCCCAGCTTGATGGACAGAAAAAGTGACCTCAACGCTAGACAAGCAGCTCCTTTCAAAGGAGGCCGTGGAACCTTCAACGTGTGACTGTACAAAACGTTTATTCTTTTGCACTACAAGTCGGGCCCATTTATCAGCAGGAACCGCCAGTGTCCAAGACTGACAGCTTTCAGAACCCCAACCCTCTTCCTGGTGGACATTTCAAAGGGCCCAGGGGAGCGAATGTCCCATAGGCCAGGCGCTTCTCCCTCCAGCAGAAGGATGAGGTGTGGCCCAGGGTCCAGGTCCTGGTGGCTGGCCTGGCTTTTCTGGGCAGGACACAGGCACTGGAAGCCCATAAGGAGCTCGTTCCCCAAAGTCAACATCCGGAAACTCAAACAAGAAACACGGAACAGGGAGAGTTTGGATGATTCCAAATCTTGAGAATCAAAATAGTGTCTGAATAAACATTTCTTCAAAAGGCACAAAAGGAGTTGAGGGTGGGGGGTGGGGGGTGGGGGGAGAAACCTCCCAGTTACCCTGCACCCAGTCTAATCAACATACGTGCAAGGCTATCAACTCGTTTCCTTTTCCAAGACGGACCTTCCCCCGTCAAGGTATGTGGGGACAGCTGAAAGGGCTGTCTCCACCCTCAGCAAGGACGCCAGCACCACAGCCCTGCACAGCATTTATAGTACCAGGAACTCGAGGCCCTGGGGCCAGATCACTGGCAAATGTTAATACCTAATACAGCGTCTCGAAAAATGGTCTTTAAAGCATGAACTGGACCTTCCCGGAAGGGTGAGCTCGAAGCTGAGTCTGTCCAGAGACTCACCACCAGGGTCCCCTTCTCTGCCCCACTACTGGCTCCTCCCATCAGGCGCTCACCTGCTGGTCCCCCAGAACCCAGACTAAACATAACTGCCCTGTGACAAGGATGGTGACAGGGCCGCGTCTGCCCCCTGGTGTGGCAAGTGCAAACCTGCCTCCAGAATCCCCCATGCCCGAGGTGGGAAACGGCCCGGGAAGGACAGACATCCCCTACTCACGCTAGGTGGGCCAGGCAAACGCTCCCATCACACATGGGGACAGAAAGACCCCGTCTAGTCTGACCTCAGGAGAAAGCATCTTGGACTGGGGGTCTGGAGCTGAGCCCTGCCTCTCTGCCCTAACCGTGCTCCTGGCCCAGGGCTGTCTGCAGAAGCGAGGGGGGAGTGGTGGGATGCATCCCAAGGCAGCCTCGTGTCTCCCCGTGCTCTGCTCCTGCCATGCAGCTTCCAAAATGTGAGCCCCACGGCCTGGACGAATGTCATCCAAGTCTCTGAAGAACCAGGCTGGCGGCCTGAGCGGAAACCGGAGCATCTCCCCAGGCTGGCTGCCTGAGGCTGCCTCAGTGCAGGTCCTGCAGGTTAATGGTGCTCCCAGTGCTCAGCGGGTCCTGAGGCCCAGTGTCGGCATCGGCGGTGGGAGACACTTCCTGCAAAACCGCAGATGGTGAGACCACAGGGACCTCAGGACAACTGCCCATGGGCTGCGGCTCCCTCCCACCAGAGGCAAGGGGCTGTGGGTATGTCCCCACCAGAAAGCACCAGCCCCCCCCCTTTTTTTTACATGACTGTAACCATGAGAGAGGAATTCAAATATAAACACACATCGTGAGGCACGAGCTCTGGGCAGTGTGACAGGTTATCTTGAAAGCAAGCAAGCCTGATGGTTTCGTCTAAAACCTTGCCCAGCCTCAGGCTAGGGCCAGGCGGGTCCTGGGGAACAGGGCCCAGCCACGGCCTGTGGCAGGCAGGCCCTCTGTGCTGCTCTGGCCGACTTCTGTGGGGGTTTTCTGGACATGGGTTCACAGGGCCTCTGATTCTGTCTCACCCGCAGTGGCCAGGGACCTACACCAGGCCAGCATGCCTATTTATTTCTAATATTAAGGAAAATGGAACAGCCCAATCTAAAAGTCACAAAACCAGATTTAGATTTTTTTCTTGACTGGTGGGGCCCAGGGAACCAACTGTGGTACCAGTGATTAAACCCATGTTGACCACGTGCAAGACATGCATCCTACCCACTGTACTATCTCTCTGATCCTAAATTTTTTAAATTTTTTTCTTTTTGGGTCACACCAATGATGCACAGGCGTTACTTCTGGCTCTGCACTCAGGAGTTACTCCTGGCGGTGCTCGGGGAACCATATGGGATGCTGGGAATTGAACCCAGGTTGGCCGCATTCAAGGCAAATGCCCTACCAGCTGTGCTATTGGTTCAAGGCAAACGCCCTACCAGCTGTGCTATTGGTTCAAGGCAAACGCCCTACCTGCTGTGCTATTGGTTCCAGTCCCCCCTAAAATGATTTTATGAATTTTTATAGAGACATTTAAGCCAAAGGGAAGAAATATCAGATTGCATGCCTCTGTGACTTTATGTTCAAATTTAAATGTCACCAGCTTAACCACTTACATAATCAAATAATGTAATTGGCCTGCATCTACCTTGCCACAGGTAGGGGTGGGGGGGGGGGGTAACTGGCGAGCCTACTGACCACAGGAGAAAGTGAGCAGAACTTGGAAATATTCAACAGTAGCATAGCACAGGAACTTGCACCCAGCACCGCGCAATCGACCTGCATTTGTCAGCCACTGACCCACCTGCCTAGTGGGTGGCCCCGTGGACGCCCACTGCACCACCCACCTCACGCACCCACCTGGAGCACGTATATGGGCAGGTCCACGGCGGCATACAGCGGGTGGAAGGTGGACGGCTGCGGGCTCAGGGCCAGCGGCAAGACTCCTTCTCCTGAAGGGTCATCCTGGGGAGGCAATGGAAGGTTTCAGGGTCCTCCCTTCCCTCAGCCTGAGGAGTCCTGTCCCCGGGGCCCCAGCAGACCCCGAGACTCACTGCTCTCAGGCGAGGCGACCGCCCTCTGCCTCCCACGAGGCCAGGGCTGGCGGCCACCTGCCCTTCCCCCCATCCCCTTGCTGTGATTACAGCCCGCAGCAGGCTGTGTGTGTGTGGGGGGGGGGGGCAGGTGGGGGACGGCAGCCATTGCTCACCCAGTTCAGGAAAGGGTCCTGGAGCACCTGACCCACCTCATCTGCTGTCCCGGCCATCCCCGCCCACCCGACAAGACCCTGTCGCCACCAGCAGCCTCTCTCTCTCTCTTCATCCTCTTATACAGGAAACAGCCCCAAGAGCAGGCGGGCGGGACTGGGCAGGGGCAGTCAAGGGACAAACTCCAGCCATTTCTGCTCACAGCCGGTCTCCACCCTCTGCTCCTGGCTTCTCCCCTCGCGACTGCCCAGTGTGGTTGGGAGCAAATCCACGCTGATCCTCTCCACCCTCCCCCCCAGCCCACCCAACTGTCCACCCTTGGGGGTTCCCCATCGCTTGAGTGCTCCAACCCCCCCAGATCCAGGCCAGCAAACGGGGAGATGCGTCTTCCCTCTCATCTCTGCAGATGCATCCTAGCCCCTCAGGTTCTTACGCCCACAGCCAGGGTCCCCACCCAGAGCAAGGCTGCATGTTGAGCCTGCCTGCCACACTGTCCCTCTCCCCCTCCACCCCCATGCTGTTCCCAGCTCCCTTCTACCTGGATGGATGCCACAGACCCGTGAGAAGCCCTTCATGGCCTGCGAGTCTCCCCGACCCCCACCCCCACCCCTGGAACTGGTCCAGGATGATGGAGCACAGGAGCCTGGCCAAGCCACTTCCCAGACAGCCTAGCCCCCAGGGGCCCCCTCAGGCCCCACGATGCAGAATGCCCCAAGGGCTGGACGCACAGGGGCACCCGAGGAAGCAGGGCTGTGAGCAAGCATGTCAGGGCTCTAACTCCCCCCTCCCCACAATGCTCCCAGAGGACCCTTGTCTCTCCCCCAGCCCCCAAAGCTGAGAGGGCACACACAGGTGCCCAGGTGTGTGGCCATGCGTGTCCTATGAGCAGCCTTGGCGTCTGCTGATTCAGAGCACTGGTTGCATGTGTGGCCGGTCCTGACCTTGGGGACCGCCACTTGGCAGGCACTAAAGGTTGTGGTGGTGGTGGTGGGGGGTGCCGACATTCTCGAGTGCCACCAATAGTCCCCAGGAGCCGATGGGACCCACCAGGGTTGGAAGCGCCAGAGCAGACACAGAGCCTGCCCGTTACCTTGGGCTCCCCAGGGCTGCAAGGCCGTGGCCAACGGGGTGTCAGGCAACCCTGACCCCAAGGAAAAGGCCTGGATAAGAGCCTGTGCTGAGGGGATGGAGCGATAGCACAGGGGGTAGGGCGTTTGCCTTGCACGCGGCCAACCCAGGTTCGATTCCCAGCATCCCATGTGGTCCCCTGAGCACCTCCAGGAGTAATTCCTGAGTGCAGAGCCAGGAGTAACCCCTGAGCGTCGCTGGATGTGACCCAAAAATAAAAAAAAAAAATTAAAGAAAGAGCCTGTGCTGGGACAGAGGAGCAGGGACAGGCAGAAGGGAAGCCCCCTGGGGCTCTACCCGGCCCACCGCTCTTACCTGCGGCAACTGGACCTGCACACACGGCGCCCCGGCAACTGAGGCGGGTCCCGGCAGACTGTCACTGGGCACCACCAGGTTCCCATACAGCCACCTGCTCAGGTCTGCGTGGCAGTGAGTGGGACTGGCTTTACCACCTCTGACTTTTCTCTGAGCAGACCCGGAGGTGCCTAAAAGGAGAGACAAAAAGAGACATTCCATGTCTAGTGTCCAGGTCACTGTCCTTGTGGCGCCCACACTAGTGCAGGGTGGCAGAGGGGGACGACGACCACTTCCCCATGAACTGCCCGGCCCCACAGATGGGAAGCAACCCTCAGGGGTTGCAAGAAAGGTTGAAAAAAAGAAAAAACAGCTTTGGGGGCTGGAGCAGTAGTACAGTAGTACAGCCGTTTTTAGGTTTGATTCCCGGTATCCCATAGGGTCTCTGGGGCCCCACCAGGAGTAATTCTTGAGTGCAGAAGCAGAAGTAAGTCGTAAGCATTGCTGGGTATGGCCCCCAAACAAAAAACCCAGGTTCTGTGTGTTTTCAGCAAATGGCTCATAGAGGTTCTTTGGTTTATTTGAAAGGTGTGTGTGCGGTGAGGGCAGGGAGCCGGAGGGTGACACCCGGTGGTGTGCTGGGCTGACATGACTCCTAGTTCTGCACTTCACCTCTGGCAGGGCTTAATCGTATGTGGTGCCAGGGATCGAACACAGGTCAGCTGCCTACAAGGCAAGGGCCTTACCTGCTGTTATCTCTCCAGCCTTAGGAGAGACAGCAATCAGGACCCCCATTACCTACTCGTGGACTTCGGTACCCTCCACCCCTCTGGCTCCCGAGTCCCGGCATACAAGGGTTCCCTGAGCCCACTGGGTACAGCTAACACAAGGAGAAGTGGCCTCAGAGCTGGGGAAAGCAGGCAGGAGGGACCACACCCTCAGGCTGCCGCTGCCTGGTCTCCTGCCAAGACTCATTACTTGGGTGGGTGCATATAAACACGCTTCAAAACAAACTGTGTACACGATGGAGTACTATGTAGCTGTTAGAAAGGATGAAGTCATGAAATTTACAAACAAGTGGTACTAGCAGAAAGTATCATGCTAATCAAAATGCGTCAGAAAGAGAGGGACAGACACAGAAAGATTGCATTCATCTGGGGAAGATAAAATAACAAAATAGGAGACTAACACCCAAGAATAGCCAAGATAAGTACCAGGAGATTTACTCTATGGCTTGGAGGCCAGCCACACACTAGGGGAAAAGGCAGCTCAGATAGAGAAGGGAGCACCAAATAAAGGGTGTTGGGAAGATCCGCCCAGGATGGGAGATGCATGCTGAAAGTGGACTATAGATCAAACATGATTGCCACTCAATGCCTCTTTTGCAAACCACAACACCCAAAAGGAGAGAGAGAACAAAAGGGAATGCCCTGCCACAGAGGCGGGGGTGGGGGTGGGAGGGATACTGAGATCAGTGGTGGTGGAGAATGGGCACAGGTGGAGGGAAGGGTACTCGATCATTGTATAACTGAAAACCAATCACAAAAATTTGTAAGTCTACAACTGTACCTGTAGACTGTGTTTCATTAATAAAAATTGTAATGTAACTGTGTTTCATTAATAAAAATTAAAAAAGAAAAAAAACTGTGTACAAAGAAGAGAGGAAGAACTCTAACCCAGCAAAGGTTTCCTCACTCACTAGGAGTCTGGGAAGCAGGAAATGCCAAAGGCGGCCTAGAGAGGGGATTAAGAGGAGGTATAACCCTTGGGGAAGGCACTGCCTTGCACACAGCTGACCCAGGCTCAATCCCCAGCATCCCTCATGGTCCCCCGAGTACCAGCAGGAGTGACCCCAGCGATCTTTGCAAAGCAAATATCTGACCTTCTGCACTATTTATCACTGCGGCCCATCAACTGTACTGCATTTCAACCAAAGGAAGCAACAAAACAGAAGGAAGAGCTAGGCTCTGAGAAGATATTTCTTTGTGAAACCTCTAAACTGCTCTTAAGTTTGGGGCTCTGTGGAGGATTCAAAAGCAAACAAAAAACCCTGTGCTCTGAGATGCTGAGGATTTATCAGAAATGCCAATCTGTGCGAGGTCAACTTAGGGGATGCAGGAGAAAGCTGAAAAGCTGTCCTTCAGCAAGAACAGTTCCGGGAGCAGAGGGAAGATCCCCCGTCTGGGTCCTTAGCGGCACAGACTGGCACTCCGCCTGACTCTGAGCTCCTGTGCGGGGCAGTGCTGGCCACCTCACCCCCAACTCAGGAACTGGCCAGCAGTACAGATGGGCCAGGGCTGCTCTGAAGTAACTGCTCCTGCTCTAAGGAACTGCTTCAGGCCTGCGAATGTGGGTCTCCAGAGACCCACCAGGACACTGGCATGGAAGTTCCCGGCCCCCTGGGGTGCCCAGGACATCATAACCTTTGGGATGGCACAGACTTTCTCTGCTGGGCTTCTTCTACAGGGCACTGTCAGTGACCATCTCTCACCTCTCCCACAGATGCCAGCACTGGCCCATTGTCACAGATGGTGAACTCATTGGTTTGTGAGGCCTTTAGTCCCACACAGCTCTATCAACGGCAAGTGCTACAAATGTGTTTATTCACAAGGAAAATTCTCAAGCTACTCATAGCACTGAATAGATACAAAAACGTGCATTGGGGCCAGAGAGCGTCTAAGGTGCTTGCCTTACATGTGTCTGACCTGGGTCTGATTTGGGCTTGGGGAACCATATGACATCCTCCTGGTGGGGCTCAGGAGTACCGTATGGTGCCCGAGCCCCGCCAGGAGTAACCCCCGAGCCCTATGCACTGATGTGTGTGGACCCAAACCAAACAAATAAAAATACACCTATCCATTTTTAAAACCTCTGCAGTCTATGTTCATAGGAAAATGTTTAATGTTGAAACAGGAGATGGGGTTCTCCAGGTAATGGGGTTTCGGGAAAAGGGAACAGGAAACCCACCCTTCATGTTTCCAAAGAGTAAATCAACCTTGTACAGCCACACTCCGAGGGCTCATCCTTTCAACAGCGAGCGTACCTGGACTGTCCCAGTTTTCTTGGAGGCAGCTCTCCAGACCACCCTAGGGCTGGGCTTAGTGGCCAGCACAGCAGCCTTCCTGCCCCACTATTTCTCCTTGTCCAGGCCTGCCTAGATCCCAGGACTAAGTTATTCCTCCAGAGGAACCTTAAACCCGCAGTGTTTTACGTTTTGGGGTCATTAACAGAGCTGAATAACACGACGGATGAGAATCTTGTCTTCCCTTCTAAGGACAGGGCTGCCTTGAAGAGAACAAAGGGAAAGAGCCCCTTTGTTGTGAGACCCAGTGTGTCTAGTTCTAATTAGTCAATTGCCTTGGGCTAAGCCTAAGAACCACATCATCGCTAAGTGGTCAGTATCTCTTCCTTTCTATTTGATCACCTTCCTCTAAAACGTCTATAAATAAGGGGCCAGAGCAATAGTTCAGTGGGTAGAGCGTTTGCCTTGCATGTAGACTACCCGGGTTCAATCTCTGGCATCCCATATGGTCCCTCAAGCACTCCCAGGAGTAATTCCTGAGTGCAGAGCCAGGAGTAACCCCTGAACAATGTTGGGTGTGACCCCAAAAAAGCAAAAATAAATAAAAATAAAACTTCTATAAATAGTGTTTAAATTTACAGGCAGAGAAAGAGCTCAATGGGTTGAGGACTTGCAAACTTTTGCAAGCTGGCTTCCCAAGCCCCACTGGGAGCACTGTGGGGTAAGACACAAAACAAACAAGGGTCTCATATTATTACATCTTTGGCCTGGCTGCCTTTCCCCAGACTGTACTGGAATCCGTCCCCAGCAAAAATGACTGTGTCACTAGAAGTCATTTTGGTTTCAGCTGACTGAGGTCTGTGATTTGTAAAGATCAGCGGTGAACTGTTTCAGGGCCTTGTTCGGCAAGGGAAGGGACACTATAGTTCTCTGATCCTCTAAGTGACCCAGAGCCCTGGCAGGTGGTCTGGGGACCTCAAGGCTCATCATCCAGAGCCCACATGCTAGGACCTCTGGGGTTCCACAGCCACGTCACTTGCTGAAAGGGAGACCGTTTTTCTGTTGAATTACAATGATAGGGTTATCTGGCCTCCAGGTCTGGGCCCACACCCACTAACTTGGTAGCCCTTCTTCAGGAGTTTCTCTGTGCCTCACATTCCTCATGCAGAAATCAGGGTCTCAGTACCCAGGCCGGTCTTGGTATCTGTATCTGGGTGGGTAACCCTGGACCAGGTGTGACCCAAAAAGCCAAAATTAAATAATTAAAATCCCAAACTTCCTGGAGCTTGCAGCTGCAACATCTCACACTCTGCAACACTGATGAATCAGTAGTAGCACCAGACTGGACGGGATGTAACGTTTAGAAGACAACCAATCTCGATGAACAAACATAAACACAAGACTTGACCTATAATAACATCTTAGGAATCGCTTATACGAAGATGTAATGGCTCTATGGTGAGATACATTTTTCACGCATTTTCTTCTAAGGAAACTTTTTTGATCATTCTGTTAGCAAATTATTGATAACAAGCAATATAAATTAAAGTATTGAGGACCTACTATGGGGGCAGGCTTAAGGGGTGGTTGGGAAAATTGGAGACAATGGTGGAGGGAAGGGGTAATGGTGGTGGGATTGGTGTTGGAATACTGGATGCTTGTAACAAATCATCATGAACAACTTTGTAAACTACAATCTTTATATGAAGCGTAAGGGGGAAATTTACATACGTAGGCCTAATCTATTCCATGTAAACTTCAATGAATTGCTTTAAGTGTTAGTGACAGGTGAGACATGATTATTACCATAATGAGATCCAAGTACAAAACAAAATTTAATGTAATCTTTAGATTCCATAGTTGATAAAGTATATATATAGGCATTTTTATATTGTATCTGATGGTTTTAATTTTCTTATTTACATAGGTCAAAATTATTTAGTAATCACTAATTGGCTCTTACTGATTTATTTTCTGATCATTTTATTTGCCAGTTCTTAAAAGTTTTGTTGGAATAGGCAATATAAAGTAAATTTGGTTTGTGCCAAAGGGAGTAAGTTGGGGTTGGGAGGGAAACTGGGAATACTGGTGGGAGGAAGGTCACACTGGTGGAATTAGAAGACTAAATGTTTGCTACAACTTAGTATGATGAACAAACTTTGTAAATCA